GGCTTTTAGCCTCACCCTGCTTCATTCTACTACGTTAATAAATCATTAGCTCATCCATGAACATGATTTCTGCCCGAGTCCCGTCGGATTGCATCTGCTGTGCGGATGAAGACCCCCCATGAATCCATACTCAGTCACAGCGTCATCAAACTACGCCTTTGTCTCTTTGTTTATTTTGAATATGCACCCTCTAGCGGCGAAAATGGCATATTGTGCCTTTAAGTGACCAGGTGTAAACAGGCCCTATGGTTCATGTGTCAGGTGCACACACACACACACACACACACACGCTCGCTCACTGTGTGAGTAGTGAGTGAGTGTACAAGTGAGTGTATGCATGCGTGCGTGTGAGTGAGTGTGTGAGTGTGTGTGTGTGTATGTGTGAGTGAGTGAGTGTGTGAGTGAGTGCGTGTGTGTGTGTCAGGACTCACGCTGGCCGTATCCCAGTGGACTCTGAGTTGGAGAGAGCAAACGCGGGTCAATGAAAGGTGAGAATGAGGAAGAGGAAGATGACGTGCTTCTTCCTGCCTGGTTACTGAATAATTTCTGTAAATACAGAATAACACCACAAAGATCAGTTTTACATGATAATACAAGTACAATTTGATTAAGTGAATGACTGATGTGAATTTTTTGAATATGCACCCTCTAGCGGCGAAAATGGCATATTGTGCCTTTAAGTGACCAGGTGTAAACAGGCCCTATGGTTCATGTGTCAGGTGCACACACACACACACACACACACACGCTCGCTCACTGTGTGAGTAGTGAGTGAGTGTACAAGTGAGTGTATGCATGCGTGCGTGTGAGTGAGTGTGTGAGTGTGTGTGTGTGTATGTGTGAGTGAGTGAGTGTGTGAGTGAGTGCGTGTGTGTGTGTCAGGACTCACGCTGGCCGTATCCCAGTGGACTCTGAGTTGGAGAGAGCAAACGCGGGTCAATGAAAGGTGAGAATGAGGAAGAGGAAGATGACGTGCTTCTTCCTGCCTGGTTACTGAATAATTTCTGTAAATACAGAATAACACCACAAAGATCAGTTTTACATGATAATACAAGTACAATTTGATTAAGTGAATGACTGATGTGAATTCCCAAAGAAATCTAGAATATTTTTGCATCTATGTGCAAAAACAAAGAACAAATACTTACATAATTATACAATCTTTTGAAATGATAACTGGCTTAAAACAGTCTCACATCAATGTAAATGTATAAAATGCCCAACACAACCCAGATTTACTAACAGCTCTCACCAGCACAAACCCTAGTTTGCCATTAAAACTACTGTCAGGACTTACTAAATATGCACAGTGAAACATTAGTGATGAAAAGGCATGAACATGTTAGTTTGACCTTATTGCATGTGCATTTGTAGGAGTTTCCTTTTCAGACACAACATTTTATTAATGTTTTACAAAGGTTTGCTGTAGTCAGTTTACTGGTAGTTTTGTGACATTTGTGTGATTATAACTCTCAAAAACCATCACTGAACCCATTTGTGTGTGTGTGTGTGTGTGAGTGTGTGTGTGTGTGAGAGAGAGAGTGTGTGTGTGTGTGTGTGTGTGTGAGAGAGTGTGTGAGTGTGTGTGTGTGAGAGAGTGTGTGTGTGTGAGTGTGTGTGTGAGAGAGTGTGTGTTTGTGTGTGTGTGAGTGTGTGCGTGTGTGTGTGAGAGTGCGTGTGTGTGTGTGTGAGAGAGAGAGTGTGTGTGTGTGTGTGTGTGTGTGAGAGAGTGTGTGAGTGTGTGTGTGTGAGAGAGTGTGTGTGTGTGAGTGTGTGTGTGAGAGAGTGTGTGTTTGTGTGTGTGTGAGTGTGTGCGTGTGTGTGTGAGAGTGCGTGTGTGTGTGTGTGAGAGAGAGAGTGTGTGTGTGTGTGTGTGTGTGTGAGAGAGTGTGTGTTTGTGTGTGTGTGTGAGTGTGTGTTTGTGTGTGTGTGAGTGTGTGCGTGTGTGTGTGAGAGTGCGTGTGTGTGTGTGTGAGAGAGAGTGTGTGTGTGTGAGAGAGAGAGAAGTACTGTACAAGTGTGTGTGCATGATTAAACAGAAACAGCTGATCAAACACTGCAGTGATCTGAGGCTGTACCTCGAGGACGCTCTGCTGGTGCGAGGGGCTCTTGTGCAGCAGGTCGGGCAGAAAGCAGCTGTCGCTGGACTGCGATCCTGAAGGCCTCTGATGGACACTATGTGCTGGCTTTGCTGCACTCTGCTGGAGAAACACCAACATCTCAATCAAGCATCTCTGAAACACTGCACTAACTACACACAGCAGCACTATCAAGCACTCTTAAACCGGTGTAAAAGCACAGAGCCTTCACCTGCTGCTGTGTAGCGCTGTGATGAGGCTGGAGAATGATTTCATCACACTCTCCTCTGGATAACACCGGCCTGCCATTGCTCAACGGAGACCTGGAAAATGACAGTCAGAGCGGTTTTAATGACGGCAAAGACAGACTACAGCACTAGAGTGACCAGAATCAGATAACAGTGTGCATGTGAAACAGCTCGAGGTTGTCTTGCTAATTCTGAACAGATTTTGCTGCTATTAAACAAATGATGGCATGAGGAATGAGAATCATAACACAAATTGTCCTTCAGTTTTCCATCAACATACAGGCTTTATTTACCCTTACCAAAAAACTAAACAAAAACAAGTACACATCCAGTTCATTTTATGAAGCAAATGTATATATTCCAAGTATGCAGCAGGTATAGTGAGATCAGTGTGCTAGTATACTTAAATGTGTACTACTTCAAAACATCTTGGGACTAAACTGGCCCTCTCTATACTAGTATACATTTAAGTGTACTCACAGTAGTAAACTTTGACTGCATAACTAGTTTACATCTGAGTGAACGTAAAAGTATGCTCTTAGTTTACTAGCCTACTCTTTCACATATGAAAGACACATTGATTGCTCTTTGAATGCTCTCAGTAAACTACTAGTTCAATAGCTTTTATGCTGTCAGTATAATTACGAGCTTTCCTTAAGTGAACTTAACATAATACTTACAGTTTACTATTTAAATATTACGTTTGCACTCCAAGTATACCACCAGCTTCCTCGTTTGGTTTGTAGAGACCCTCATCTGTTATAGTATCCTCACACACAAGACGGTCATGAATGTTCATCTCTTCAGATCATCTACACACGTGAGTTTCAAAATACTCTGTAAAATGCTGAAACACTACCTTAAAGAAGCCAGTATGTGTGAGAAAGGTGTTTATTAGGACTACAAGCGGTAGTAATTAACTGTACAAATATACTTTGACTTCTGTATATTTGTCAGTATAGTTAACTGTATATTGTAAGTGATAAGTGCATGAAACGTTAAGTATACTTTCTTATTTTTTGCTCAAAAGATCTAAAGTTGATATCTGTCAAAACAATCCCAATGTGATGGTTTGGATAAATGTGAAGTGAAGCTGTATGTTAGAGACAGAGCCGTGTCCGCAGGCACTGTGACGTCTTCACTGCATTCACGAGAAACCCTGGCCATATGTGTGCTTTCACATTCACTCCCATCACTTCAGCATTACTCTGATATCATGAGACAACAGCACAGAGTGCTCCACTTTAGGTCAGCTGTCTCTTTAAGACAGCATTACAGCATGAACAGTACCAGCAAAACAGGTATATCACCCTAGTGAAAAATAAATATACTTCAATGTTTTTGAAATACATTCATTTCATGCTAAGCATACTACAAATACATTTTCATATTTATGTACTTAATAAATGCGATTGTACTTTTAGTATACTAAACTGGTAAACTTAAAGTCTGCTAAATTGTAACAACTGATTTTGTGCTTAATGCACTTTAATTGCGAGTAAGTAGTGCTGAGGTCCAACTAAAGATATACTGAAGTATATTTGATTGTGTTAAAGTGGAACTACTGCGAGTATACTTCAGGTACACTTTAAATATCTTGCAGCTGAAGACTGATATTATTCAAAGATCATACAGTCCTCGTCAAAAGTGACATTAAAACACATTTTAGGCTTATTATAAATAAAACAATGAGCATTGTGTAGAAGTAATACTCCAAATAAAGTTTCATTAACATTTTTGATAACATAACATTTTAAACAATGTATATAGTCATGTGAATAAGTTAGGACACCCTATTGAATTCCATGGTTTTCTGTATCAGGAGTTTTTAAAAAGTCTTCAAATTTGAATTTTAAAAAATGGCTTTTCCATTTTGGCTTTATTTCTGTTAAATAAACAATGACACCGTGCGATATGTCATGTGTTGCTGTTCATCTGAGGTTTTATTTTCCAAATTTTAATTTAAAAAGTCTTCAAATTTGAATTTTAAAAAATGGCTTTTCCATTTTGGCTTTATTTCTGTTAAATAAACAATGACACCGTGCGATATGTCATGTGTTGCTGTTCATCTGAGGTTTTATTTTCCAAATTTTAAGCCCTGGAAAGAACCAGTTATTTATGTCCTGATAAGGAAAACCGTGGAAATCAATAGGGTGTCACATGAGTGTACATTAAAAGCGTCTGCTAAAATGACTAAATATCTATCAGTAGGTCTCGAGTTGTCTGTCAGTAAATATGCTAATAGATTTGAACTATACTTAGTATGAAATGCATGCATTTTAAATATATAACTTTTTTACTAGGGTATACTTTAAGTAACCACAGACTCCACAACGCTGTCAGTCAGCACTTACTGCATGTAATCATTAGCTTCAGGAGGAGGGGAGATTACCTGGTCCTCTCGTCATCTTCATCACTGGAGGAAGAATATTCCGCAAGCTTCATTAACGGACTGAACGCAGACTTCATTCCCAAACCCTTAACGAGGAACACAGCTTGAGATTAAAGGCCAGCACTCTGTTACTGTTAGTCATGTCCTAGCTTTTAATCAGTTTATTCAGACACCTTCAACATGTCTCACATTAAATCACGGGTTAATTCACTATAGTTGAGAAAATAGTAACAAAATATGAGAAGAACTCAGAGTTAAACTGTGTCAGAACAAAATGAACCCGTAAAAGCGTAGGAGAAATGATCAGATTGACCTGGTTCTGCGGTGACGTCTGAGCGTTTCTGCTGGGATGAGCTGCACTGTCCAGCACACAGAGACCTGCACAAACAAGAGCATCTGCATGAACACACACACATCTGAATAACTGAGCTGATTCTGACGCATCTCAGACCTGAGTGTGAGCTGCTGCTGGAGCTGGAGCTGAAGGACATCTTCACAGCAGACGGACCATCGCCGCTGAACACATGAGGACACAAACACACAGCTTCACAGAGCGGCTCCAGACGAGTAACTCTCAAACAGCACGAGCAGTGACCGCTCACCTGGACCCCTGTCTGTGAGGACTCGCCACATCTTTGAACTTCGACGTCGTGCGCTCTGGAATCTTGTAAAAGTCAGGAGATTAGCATTCATTCTTGTTACACTTTGTACATGTGTGTGTGTGTGTGTGTGTGTGTGTGTGTATGCATGGCTAATTTATTAGGGCTGTCAGAAGAAACTATTCGAATTTCGAATATTCGTAGAATTTAAAATATAAATCCACATTCGAATGCAAAAACGCTTTAGATGTGCGTCAGTCTGCTTTATCAGTGGCGCACGAGATGCGATGACGATTAAGTGTCGTTGCATTTGAATGTTTTTTATAGCTTATCCAGTTGAAGCCACTAGATGCGGCGCTGCTGCGTTGTTCACTCAAAATATTGTTTACGTCAAAACTGAAACCAAGCCGTTCACACAGAACGCATATTTATCTAATTTTCTAGAGGGATATCTATCACCGCTGCACTCGCGTCTCGCACAAGAGAGACGCATGTAAAATTAATGTAAGTTCAACTTTTAAAAAACATGTCTCGAGATTTTATGGTGGGTTTTTCCCCATTTAAATGAAAAAGTACTCTTTGTGATTGGTTTTCAGGCCTTTGTATTAAACTATACATGCATACATGATGCTGTTTTGTTTCTAATTGTTTACGCAACTTAATTATATATGGTTTATAAACATTAATTTAAACATTATGCACTTTTTCCAAAAGTAGTCGTGTTATTTTATTGCTTTGAAGAAACGTGCATTAGTAGTATTTTGTGGCTTCAGGAGAGAAGACAAACGCTTTTCCCCCCTAACTGACATTATGCCTTTTAAATTTGAGTATTGATATTATTTCAGTACAACATTCGAATTTAGTTCTTCAGCCGTTTTGACAGCCCTATTATTTATTGGCATTTGTTCAGGGTCATAAAGCTGATTATTCTCCCCCAGTTCTCTTCATTGATCACCTTGGACCTACATTCTGGGTTTCTGTGGCATCCTCACATGTATTTTTGTGTGCTAACCGTTCGTGTGTCACATTAGAGGAAGGAAGGAAGGCACCTCCCTTGGGGAGAGGAAGCTGTTTCGACCGCACTTTAGCAGCTGCCACCTATACAGATGCTTCTGACGCAGCAGAACACTCATGACTTAGTCTTCCTCAGCTGTGGGTGACTCTGATCTTTCCTCTGAGCAGTGCGGTATGCTAGAGCAGAGTCTGAGTGTGAACAGAAGGGTCATGACCAGGGTTTTCTAACCTTGGGCGGCTGCTCGTCAGGGCAGAAGAAGACTTCATCGAGCGCTGGAGACAGAGGAGCAGACGAGAGGTCTGTCATGGAGCTGCTGTGATGAAAGAAAATAGTAACAAAATATGAGAAGAACTCAGAGTTAAACTGTGTCAGAACAAAATGAACCCGTAAAAGCGTAGGAGAAATGATCAGATTGACCTGGTTCTGCGGTGACGTCTGAGCGTTTCTGCTGGGATGAGCTGCACTGTCCAGCACACAGAGACCTGCACAAACAAGAGCATCTGCATGAACACACACACATCTGAATAACTGAGCTGATTCTGACGCATCTCAGACCTGAGTGTGAGCTGCTGCTGGAGCTGGAGCTGAAGGACATCTTCACAGCAGACGGACCATCGCCGCTGAACACATGAGGACACAAACACACAGCTTCACAGAGCGGCTCCAGACGAGTAACTCTCAAACAGCACGAGCAGTGACCGCTCACCTGGACCCCTGTCTGTGAGGACTCGCCACATCTTTGAACTTCGACGTCGTGCGCTCTGGAATCTTGTAAAAGTCAGGAGATTAGCATTCATTCTTGTTACACTTTGTACATGTGTGTGTGTGTGTGTGTGTGTGTGTGTGTATGCATGGCTAATTTATTAGGGCTGTCAGAAGAAACTATTCGAATTTCGAATATTCGTAGAATTTAAAATATAAATCCACATTCGAATGCAAAAACGCTTTAGGTGTGCGTCAGTCTGCTTTATCAGTGGCGCACGAGATGCGATGACGATTAAGTGTCGTTGCATTTGAATGTTTTTTATAGCTTATCCAGTTGAAGCCACTAGATGCGGCGCTGCTGCGTTGTTCACTCAAAATATTGTTTACGTCAAAACTGAAACCAAGCCGTTCACACAGAACGCATATTTATCTAATTTTCTAGAGGGATATCTATCACCGCTGCACTCGCGTCTCGCACAAGAGAGACGCATGTAAAATTAATGTAAGTTCAACTTTTAAAAAACATGTCTCGAGATTTTATGGTGGGTTTTTCCCCATTTAAATGAAAAAGTACTCTTTGTGATTGGTTTTCAGGCCTTTGTATTAAACTATACATGCATACATGATGCTGTTTTGTTTCTAATTGTTTACGCAACTTAATTATATATGGTTTATAAACATTAATTTAAACATTATGCACTTTTTCCAAAAGTAGTCGTGTTATTTTATTGCTTTGAAGAAACGTGCATTAGTAGTATTTTGTGGCTTCAGGAGAGAAGACAAACGCTTTTCCCCCCTAACTGACATTATGCCTTTTAAATTTGAGTATTGATATTATTTCAGTACAACATTCGAATTTAGTTCTTCAGCCGTTTTGACAGCCCTATTATTTATTGGCATTTGTTCAGGGTCATAAAGCTGATTATTCTCCCCCAGTTCTCTTCATTGATCACCTTGGACCTACATTCTGGGTTTCTGTGGCATCCTCACATGTATTTTTGTAAAAGTACTCTTTGTGATTGGTTTTCAGGCCTTTGTATTAAACTATACATGCATACATGATGCTGTTTTGTTTCTAATTGTTTACGCAACTTAATTATATATGGTTTATAAACATTAATTTAAACATTATGCACTTTTTCCAAAAGTAGTCGTGTTATTTTATTGCTTTGAAGAAACGTGCATTAGTAGTATTTTGTGTCTTCAGGAGAGAAGACAAACGCTTTTCCCCCCTAACTGACATTATGCCTTTTAAATTCGAGTATTGATATTATTTCAGTACAACATTCGAATTTAGTTCTTCAGCCGTTTTGACAGCCCTATTATTTATTGGCATTTGTTCAGGGTCATAAAGCTGATTATTCTCCCCCAGTTCTCTTCATTGATCACCTTGGACCTACATTCTGGGTTTCTGTGGCATCCTCACATGTATTTTTGTGTGCTAACCGTTCGTGTGTCACATTAGAGGAAGGAAGGAAGGCACCTCCCTTGGGGAGAGGAAGCTGTTTCGACCGCACTTTAGCAGCTGCCACCTATACAGATGCTTCTGACGCAGCAGAACACTCATGACTTAGTCTTCCTCAGCTGTGGGTGACTCTGATCTTTCCTCTGAGCAGTGCGGTATGCTAGAGCAGAGTCTGAGTGTGAACAGAAGGGTCATGACCAGGGTTTTCTAACCTTGGGCGGCTGCTCGTCAGGGCAGAAGAAGACTTCATCGAGCGCTGGAGACAGAGGAGCAGACGAGAGGTCTGTCATGGAGCTGCTGTGATGAAGCTCTCGACTGGGACTCACGCTCATGCTCTGAAACCACACAGTCACACACATTCAGATCCTACATCCTTGTTTTATGTCTTTATAGCTGGAATAATGTGAGAGTCAGGCCTTTGTAAAGCTCTGTAAAGTATGTTTGCTGTATAGTATGTAACTAGTTACTCCCCAACACTGTCCATCCCACAGAGAAGCTATGGTATGTTTGAGTGCATTAGAGCAGGGCTGTGATGTGTCTCGTACCGGCGGTTTGGCTGCTCTCTGCAGCGCTGGAGTACACGGACTGGAGCTGCTCCCTGACCCCACACGAGACTGAACATGAGGAATCCTCACCGCTATACTGTTCCGATTGACCAGACGAGCCTCCAGCGACTCCAGTTTACCTGCCAGCTGAAGGCCAGAGTTTCACATCATCATCACAGACTACAGCATGGGTCAGGATGCTTTACGCTACATGCATGACATGCGCAGCTGCTGTGTTTTACCCCGTCGTGCCGTGTGTCTCGAGGCTGGTCTCTGGGCTGGGCTCTCCGGTCCTGCTGGACATCAACACAGCATCAGCACCAAACAAACCCTGACCGGCTCCACAATCACATCATATATATTACGTTTACAGCACCCTCACTAATGTATAATATTATATATATATATATACACAGTGGGTACGGAAAGTATTCAGACCCCCTTAAATTTTTCACTCTTTGTTATATTGCAGCCATTTGCTAAAATCATTTAAGTTAATTTTGTTTCCTCAATGTACACACAGCACCCCATATTGACAGAAAAACACAGAATTGTTGACATTTTTGCAGATTTATTAAAAAAGAAAAACTGAAATATCACATGGTCCTAAGTATTCAGACCCATAGTTCGCCAAATCTGCAACGAAACGCCATTATTACAGATTTCGTTTGAGGGTGCTTACCCCCGTAGACCCCAGGCCTGGCATCAGCAAACACATCAACAAACACTGAGCTCAAATGAAACCTCTAAATATGACTGACCAGAACAGCAGATGGTGTGTGTGTGAGTGACTCTCCGTATCTGAAGTGCTCAGTGTTACTGAAGCTCATCACCTGCTCAGCAGCCGCTGATTCAGGATCAGTCCTGGGCTGTTCACCGTCTCTGGGCTGAAACACAGGCACAAACAGCACATCATTACACCAGCGCTGGGAAAACAACAACTAATCACCATAAAAATGCTGAATTATCATATCAATAAGTCACATGAACAGAAGCCACACCTGGTCAAATCTGCATTGCTAGGAGAAACACTGATCATTTGCATCAGTGTAAGTCACATTTCATTATCATATTTAAAAATTACGTAAATTACCACTAAATAAAGCCAAACATTTTAAACAATATACATGTATTTTAGTCCCTCTCAATCCACAGAAACACTTTAATGTTAACCGTATATAGAACAAGAATGAACAATGTAAGTGCAACATAAACAGATTATAGTTGCATCCATATAAACACTTATTATAAACTCCAAACCTAAACAAATTTAACCCTGTAAGGCCCACTGTTGTAATATTACAACATCAGTTTTAGCTCGTCTAAAATAAAGCTGCTCATATATATATATATATATATATATATATATATATTATTTTTCTCTCTAACATCACATTTACATTACTAATAGGTCCTATTCTTCAGCCTTGCAATGCTATTGGATGCTGGATTTTAAAAATAAGCCTGTCATTTTAGATGTTGAGCTTGTAAGAACTGATTCCTCTTTGTCATAAATCATGATACACTCATGACGAGCATCGTGTGTCCTTTTATATAACACATATAACTTACGCAGCTTATCACCTATGTCAGCTTGTTGATTGCTTTTCATATCATATTTAAATTCTACTGCCTTTAAATTTGCTTTTTTTTTTTACATTTACATTTAGTCATTTAGCAGGAGCTTTTATCCAAAGTGACTTGGAAGCAATCAGACCAACAATAGAGCAATGATATACAAGTGCTATAGCAAGTCTCAGTTAGCCTAATGCAGTATGCAAGGGTTTTTCTTTTATATATATAATAAATAAAAAGAAAACATGTAGATAGTATAGAAAAAAGAATAGGGAACTCTAGTGTAGACAAAAAATGATGTGACTGTTTGGCAAAAAGTCATAACGATTCAGACTCATCGAAGTGCTATCTGAAGTAGGGTTGTGACGGTGAGGAAATTTTCCCACCGGTTAATCGACGCGTGACAACACCGCTAATACCGGTATCACCGCGGGGGCGGGGGCATTTTACTTTCACTTTCAAATAGCGGCAATTCGGAGTAAAGCAATTGTTTGTTTGCATTTTCCCTCTTTTCCTTGCTTTCCTTCGCTTTTAAATAGCTTAAAAGCGCCGTGCGCATTTTACTTTCACTTTCGTATTAGCGGCAGTTAGGCGTCAATTGCTTGAATACTACAATAAAATACAATGTCAGACTCACTTTAGCCTATATATATAAAACATAGAACTTTTATTAACAAAACAAATACAAATACACCATGCTATAGGGCAGGCTATGTACAAGCAAGCAAACATGTATAATATATAACCAAATAAATAAGAAACGTAGAATGTTTATTAGCAAAACGAGTAAGAAAGCTTGGAGGCACGGCATACACCTTGATGTCAAATAAAATAAATAAACGACACAAAGTTTAAATAAAGTAAAAATCTGCAAACAATGTGGAACCAATTAAATAAGAAACGAATGTTTAAAAAAACTTCCAAAATCAGATAAACGACAAAAGTCAACAGTCTTTTCAAAATCCAAAAAATTGCCAAACAAGCGCTTTTGCATCTCACTCTTCTCGTCTGTCTCGCCCCACTCTTCTCGTCTGTCTCGCCTCACTCTTCTCATCTGTCCCGCCCCGCTCTTCTCGTCTGTCTCGCCTCGCTCTTCTCGTCTGTCTCGCCCCGCTCTTCTCGTCTGTCTCGCCTCGCTCTTCTCGTCTGTCTCGCCCCGCTCTTCTCGTCTGTCTCGCCCCGCTCTTCTCGTCTGTCTCGCCCCGCTCTTCTCGTCTGTCTCGCCCCGCTCTTTCTCGCCTCAGTCTGTCTCGCCTCACTCTTCTGGTCTGTCTCGCCTCACTCTTCTGGTCTGTCTCGCCTCACTCTTCTGGTCTTCTGGT